CCCCCCAGAGGCCAATGTCTTCGCTAGCACACCACTCGGTGTCTAGCTCTGATACCATTTATATCAGCCCAATCCAACAGTTAGTAGATATTGTCCACTTTTACTTGTTACGTATCACTATCAGTCTCACAATTTTAAAACACGAATGCCAGGGTGAGGTTTCCACACCCTGAAAAGGAATGTTTCGTTTTCTCTCCAACTGATGTAGAATCTCAAAGTCTATTAGAGCGTTCATTTTTAAAATGCATAATTTTCACGAAAAAGACTTGTTTAAATATAGGAGTTAATGTAATATAAGAATGAAATGTTGGAATCGGGTTGTAATAGCAACGTTGATTAATGTGAGCGGTTTTTCATATTTTCTATACTTATTTTAAAAAATTACGTGATAGCTTCAAAATAATAATGTTGCTCGGATCGATCTAATTGATTTTAAATGAAATTAAGTAAATTAGTTATTTTTGAAATTTGGCTAACAAATTCGAATATTAAAAATATTTTCAATATAGTTCATTCGATAATCTTGTAAACAAAACCCTATAATATCTAAGTGTAATGAAGGGAAAAATTAATAAATTAAATGACATTAGGGCATAATAATTAATAAAATTCCAATGGTGTAAATATTCAAATATTTTGATATTTTTTTAATTTATGACCATGAAATAATCATCTATCTAATTAATTTAAAATAAAATAATTATCAAATAATCTAAATTCAAAATTAGCAATAATTTAAGCTTAATTTGGGTCATATTGAATCCAAGAGGCAACGGCCCGTTATCCTTCCACTGCAAAGAGAGGGAAATTTTCGTTGCTCTATGAAACCAGCCTCACGCCATGCCCTCCGCTTTAGAGGGCGATGAAATCATGGACCTTCGCCTAGATCCCACAGCCTAACTCCTCACTTCAAATGGGCAGGCACGAGAGAGAACCGCTTGGATCCGACCAAGCAAGACAGGCTCCTGTCCCATCACTTTAACGCCCCCACTTGGGTCACAAGCTCGCGCAACCAAGCTCGGCGATGGACACGCCTGCCAATTCCAAATATAAATAAAGCCGAACTCGAATTTTCTTAGATGTGGGAGAAACAATTTGGATCAGCTTAATCTTATTCATAACCTAGCTTAACTTGGGTTGTCGGTTATTTTTATTTTTTTTAATTATCTTAAAAAAAATTATGCTTATACACTTTACATATTACATTAATAACTAAAATCTCATAGATATAATATATCAAACATTTACTTATCATTACGCATTACTAACATTAGTTATAAACATTAAATATTCTTAATATTAATAATAATCTTACAAATAGAATGGTGGTAAATTTTTTATTTTTAAAAAATTCAACCTTATTCAATACGAGGTTACCATTATTTAATAAGTTTATAATATTTAACCAATTATTTAATAAGTTTATAAAATTATTATTAAATTAGTGGCGAATTAGTGAAAATTGAACGGATAATAAGAATTACATCGAAAATCTTATGAATTAAAAATAAAATTAATATTATTATGATTATTTTATTATTTTGTGGGTATAATTTTAACGAAAATTTGGTTGCAACGTGAAGAAAGCGAGGGGAAGAGGAATATCTCTCATTTCTGCAAAATAGTTCAGAGCCAAATGAAGAAGGAAGAGACTGTGAAATTGATCAGCGCTGAGGGTTTCGAGTTCTTGATCCACAAGGATGCTGCCATGGTTTCTCAGACCATTCGAAACATGCTTACTTCCCCAGGTCTCCCTCTCTCTGTTGATCAATCCACTTTTTGAGGCTTACGATCTAGTTTTTTATTTCTTGCTCATGTATGGAGAAGAATGGATTAGGTGAAATCTAGGAATTGTTGTTTTGTTTTGAAATTTTCATGTTTAGGGCTTTGTTTTACTATTTTAGTTTTTATGGATAGGTAATTTTGCTGAATCGCAACACAGAGAAGTGACTTTTCCTGAGATTAGTACCACCATTCTCGAGAAGATTTGCCAATATTTTTACTGGAATCTTCAATTCGCCAGGTTTTTGTTTCTTTTTTTATGTCGACTTCTCTCTAATTATGATTAGTCTGAGATGAATTGCCTGAATTTCTAGCAAAGTAAGATGCTGATGTTACCTTTTGCTTTATTTCGGATTTCAGGTTCGGTTAGTTTTTCTTAAACTGGTCCTGTTCCAATGATTACTAATTGGAAGTGTAAATCGTTTACACTGAATCACGTGGGAATGAAACTTTTGATGCTTATTGTCTGATAAAGATATTAGTTATGGATGTTATTGTAGTTCTTGTTACTATTCTGGTCCATGATCTTGGTCTCTTTACATTTTTTTCGTTTTTTTTTTTTTTTTTTCTGGAATTGTTTGTTAACGTAGGGCTGCATCCTCTCCAATTAATTGATAATAGAAACGAAGCGTAGGGCGTCTAGCATTTGGACTATGCAGATTGATCTTGTTGGTCTGAAATTTTAGATTCGTTTCAGGAAAAAAGAAGAGAAGTTTTGTGAGAAACAAGATAGAATGTAGTATGTTTGATCCGGATCAACTTATCATAAAACCATTCATGTTTCTTTTGTTATATACTTTTGTTGTTTGTGTAAGAGATGTCTTGTAGGCATACCCTTGAGTTAGAACTGTACATAAGAGTTCTTATATGTTAATTGGATTTAGAAGTCAAATGTTTTGCGCCACAATAGGACAGTACATGGATGTAAATTATAATGGAGGAAGGCTTGACAGCTGACGATGACAATCCTCCTAGGCTAAACATTACTATTATTATTAAAAAAGAATTATTGAGAAACCTGGCTGTCATTGAGAAGAAAAGAAATACATGGACATACAAAAAGGGAGTCGACTACAAGAAGGGACTTCAGTCAATTAGAATGAGTATACTCGTAAACAAAATTGAGTCGGAGTAAGCTCTTCTATTTATTGCGACTTGTCGGAGTGTTTCTAAGGCATGTGGGAAAGTGCATGCTTATGGAGTTTAGGTCAATTTTGTACAATGTTTTGGTCATTTGGTCATTTGGTCATTTGGTCATTGGTGGACAACAGATGAAATTACACTCTTCATGTAAACATATGTGACTCCCCTCATTTTTCTGGCAATTTTGTGGGGACTTAACTGATTAAAGATTATGCTGTTATAAATACTTACGCGTGTACCTCTGCATTCTCTTCGTTTCTTGTTTCGTTCTTTAACTCTGTGTCTCGGACATTGATTTCTTGCTTTTTGCCAGTGGGAAAGAGACCGAGTTCCCGATTGAACCTGAATTGACTCTTGAGTTGATGATGGCTGCCAACTATCTCCATACATGAAATGTGACCTCCGTGCAACCTTCCAGATAGAACCATTTGACATTATAATCAGGTGGCAATTATTGTAGGGATAAATGTTGGGTATTTTTGTACTTAGCTAGCCTCACTGAGATGACTTATAGAATACACTTGAAACATCTATGTTTCCATAACCTTTTGTTTTAAGGAGATATTGGTCGATGGTTCTTCAGAAGGTAAAGTACTTGTGTTGTGGGACTCTAAATTTTGGATGAAAGGATTTTGTGAGATCCTACGACGGTTGAAAAGGGAAACGAAACATTCCTTATAAGCGTGTGGAAACCTCTTCCTAGCATACGCGTTTTAAAACGGTGAGGCTGACGACGATACATAACCGACCAAAGCGGACAATATCTGCTAGCGGTGGGCTTGGGCTGTTATTATTGATTAAATCAATGAAACTTTAGGAGTCTGAAGAATCACTCTTTGGGCCCATTTTGATAGACCCTAGACTCTTCATTGAAGAGAAAATGCAATAAATACCTACGAATGAGTAGAATAGAATCTCCTATGGCATCCATTGTACAATCTTATCATCTTGGATCCAAAAGAGAGGAAGGGGGAAGAGAAGGTGTTGTGCGTGTAGTGAGGATTAATAAAAATCTACACTGATAATATATTCTCGGCATTTATCAAGTACTTTTTTTTTTTTTATTTACTTGGAAGAAAGTCTTAGTATTTGTATTTTGTTTCAGTAATGTCCAGGAACTTTCAAATATTGCACTAAAAGCTCGAAAATGTTCTTACCGTTAATATATGGATATAAATTATCATCTATATCCTTGAATTTTGTTGCATTGATGAGATCGAAGATTTGGTTGATCATTGTTTACGTCCTTTTTAGTCTATTTGTTGTGGCTAATTCAAAAGGTTCTTGAATGATCGATGATGATATCCTTGTGTTCCACTTTAGTTATCAACTATTGTTTTCTCTTTTTTTCGCTCGACCTTGACGCTTAGTCCAGTTGAACTAGCTATTGTCTTTCCCCTTTTCTTCTCTATTGACCGTGTCACTTGTTGTTCTTTTTAGTTTCCCTTGTCTCTCACGCATTGGTCGTTTTTCTTTTGACGCTCGTCTAAGTCAAAGAGTCGCCATTCACCATCGAAGTTATTACTAGCTCTTTTTTAATTAAAACTCAAAAAATAGGGAGAGAGAGGTTGGGTTGTTGTTCTCATGACTTAGGGTTTGATAGGAATTGATATACCAACCCAGTCCAAAAAAACTCCCCTCAATTTAAAAAAATAATAATAATAAATAAATAAATAAATAAAAGCCTCCTTCCCACCAAGCTTTCTTTTCCCTCCCATTGCCGCCGCCACCGTCTCTGTACCGGTTTTGTTTTCCCCTTTTCCTCCTCCTCCATATCTCCCTCTCCTCTGCAACCCACGTCGGCGAACTCTCTCTGCTTCAGTCACACGCCGGCACATCTCCATCGGCAACGCCCGTTTCTTCCTTCTCTCCCTATCTCCCTCTCTGCTTCAACGGCGCCGGCACGTATGACTTCCCAGCCTTCTTCTACTCGTCTCTGACTGCCCACCAATTTGCTCTGCTCGTCGTTAAGGTGCACACTCTGTCTTCCTCTAACCACTCCCTCTCTCAGTCGGTTCTTACCGAGTTCGCAGGGATTAATTTTTTTTTTCTTTGTTCATTTTCTTTCTTCAATTCAACCAATTCGTATATAAGGTAAAATTGGAATGAGGTCAACAAATTTATCTAAAATCCTGCGAAATTTAATCTCCCTTTGTTCTCAGTTCTGATGCCTCTCACGAATGATCTAACCCTCTCTGCCNCCCCCCCCCTCCAGTGAAATCGAGCGGCATAATACGATGGCAATGCGGTGGTTTTCCAAGTTGAAGTTACCCATTTGTTATTCGGTATTCCTACGAGGTCTAATGAGGAGACCCATTAGAGATATCCCATTACCAGTAAAATCGACGGTTGCCGGATTTCAGCCGGATTCCAGCCGACCCTTAAGCGGATTCCGGCTATATCACGACGGGAGGCCGCGGGGACCCCTTTGGAGAAGCCGGAAAGCAATTGGGAAAGAAGCGCTTTTCGTTATTCAGGGATTGAAGAGATTCAAGGAAGATGAAGAGAAGCTCCAGAAGTTCATGAAATGTCATGTTTTGAGGCTCTTGAAATTGGACATGATTGCTGTGCTTGGTGAACTTGAGCGGCAGGAAGAGGTTGCTTTAGCCGTCAAGGTCTCTTTTCCCTTCCTTTTCTTCATTATGTTCTGTCATTTTTTGGGTTTTTAACTTTACTTCATGAGGTGCCATGGAAATAGATAACGAGCTTCTGCAAAATATACTTAATATTCCTGACTTACTCTTGTTTGTTGTCACTATTACTTTCAATAACCTTGTTGGTTAATGCTTTGAATTTTTGCTTCTTAATTGTTATGTTCATCTCTGATCTGCCCCTTTTGATTCATCAGGGTCTTCTTCATATATATATATATGATTTAAGATCTTGTATATGAACCCTTTTCCAATCTAGTTGCTTGTGGAAAATATGTTGTGAGATCCCACCTCGGTTGGGGAGGAGAATGAAGCATTCTTTATAAGGGTGTGGAAACCTTTCCCTAGCAGAAATCTTGAGGAGAAGCCCGAAAGGGAAAGCCCAAAAAGGACAATATTTGCTAGGAGTGGGGTTGGGTTGGGTTGTTACAAATAATATCAAAGCTAGACATCGGGCAATGTGCCAACAAGGACGCTAGGACTTGAAGGGGGTTGACATGAGGCGGTGTGCTAGCTAGGACGTTGGGCCCCGAATGGGGGTGGATTGGAAGCTCCACATCGATTGGAGAAAGGAACAAGTGTCAGCGAGGACGCTGGGCCTCAAAGGGTGGTGGATTGTGAGATCCCACATCGGTTGGGGAGGAGAACAAAACATTCTTTATAAGGATGTGGAAACCTCTCCCTAGCAGACGCGTTTTAAAAACCTTGAGGGAAGCCCGAAAGGGAAAGCCCAAGGAGGATGTGCCAGCAAGGAGGCTGAGCCCTGAAGGGGGGTGGACATGAGGCGGTGTGTTAGCTAGGACGTTGGGCCCTGAATAGGGGTGGATTAGGGGTTCCACATCGATTGGAGAAAGGAACGAGTGCCAGCAAGGATGCTGGACCTCGAAGGGTGGTGGATTGTGAGATCCCACATCGGTTGGGGAGGAGAACAAAACATTCTTTATAAGGATGTGGAAACCTCTCCCTAGCAGACGCGTTTTAAAAACCTTGAGGGAAGCCCGAAAGGGAAAGCCCAAGGAGGATGTGCCAGCAAGGAGGCTGAGCCCTGAAGGGGGGTGGACATGAGGCGGTGTGTTAGCTAGGACGTTGGGCCCTGAATAGGGGTGGATTAGGGGTTCCACATCGATTGGAGAAAGGAACGAGTGCCAGCAAGGATGCTGGACCTCGAAGGGTGGTGGATTGTGAGATCCCACATCGGTTGGGGAGGAGAACAAAACATTCTTTATAAGGATGTGGAAACCTCTCCCTAGCAGACGCGTTTTAAAAACCTTGAGGGAAGCCCGAAAGGGAAAGCCCAAGGAGGATGTGCCAGCAAGGAGGCTGAGCCCTGAAGGGGGGTGGACATGAGGCGGTGTGTTAGCTAGGACGTTGGGCCCTGAATAGGGGTGGATTAGGGGTTCCACATCGATTGGAGAAAGGAACGAGTGCCAGCAAGGATGCTGGACCTCGAAGGGTGGTGGATTGTGAGATCTCACATCGGTTGGGGAGGAGAACGGAACATTTTTTATGAGGATGTGGAAACCTCTCCCTAGAAAACGCGTTTTAAAAACCTTGAGGGAAACCTAGAAGGAAAAGCCCAAAGAGGACAATATTTGCTAGCGATGGGTTTAGGCTATTACATATTTGCTTTTAGATTCTCTTACTTCATTGTTTTGGGGAATCTGACCTGCTGCAATTTTCTATTGTCATTATGTTTGCTCGCCTTGTACGCTTGTCGAACTTTCAGGTATTTCGGTTGATTCAAAAGCAAGAATGGTACAAGCCCGATGTTTTTCTCTACAAAGACTTGATTGTTGCATTAGCTAGAAGTAAACAGATGGATGATGCAATGGAATTATGGGAAAGCATGAGAAAGGAGAATTTATTCCCTGATTCTCAAACGTACACCGAAGTCATCAGAGGCTTCTTGAAATATGGATCTCCTTCTGATGCAATGAACATATATGAAGATATGAAGAAGTCTCCTGATCCACCAGATGAGTTGCCATTTAGAATTTTGTTGAAAGGACTTTTGCCACACCCCCTTTTGAGAAACAGAGTGAAGCAAGATTTCGAGGAGATCTTTCCTGACCAGCACGTGTACGATCCCCCGGAAGAGATATTCGGCCTACGCTGAGGTATGTTTTATTAACGTTGTGTTGTTGCTGGTATTATCTGAAGATTGATAGCACTTAGTAGGCATTCGTAGTCGGCCATTGATGTCATTAAAGAATGACCAAAACATGTCTTCGAATTAGCGGTCAAGAAGTGTAGGATGAATAGTTGGTCAGATATCCGTACGAGTCATGTGGATAATAGAAATCTCTTCCTCGTATGGTTTGCTCATCTTAGATATGTGGAGAAGGGGATCAAGTGAGTCATGTCATCCTTGTAAACAGGAAAATTCATAGACCATTCCCGTCGTCGTAAGATCACCCCTTGGATGTGTTAAATATTTAGGGGTCACGAACCAACGATCAAATCCTGTTCGATAAGTGGAATGCATTGGTTGTCCACACTTTTGTGGGGTCGGTAGGTTCGTTTGGAAGAGTACACCATTGTTATTAGAAAGCCTTTGAAAGACCTTTAGCCCTTCAACGTCAGATGCTTGTTCATGTTAGTTCACTGCTGCTAACTAGTTTAGCCCTTTCTCTTGCATGGTTATGACTTCATTCTAATCTGATTACCTCGTATTACACATCATTTCAGTGAATTAATAGGACGTTTTGTCGGAGAACATTACTCCGGTTTTGTGATGTTTCCTGCTGCTGGAGCTGAAAGCAAAACGACGAAGCGTGACGATACAAAACTGCAATGAGATGGAGACATTATCAATGGCGTTTCTCGGGACAGGCGTCTTGGGATTCAAAGGAGAAGGTAAAGAAGATGGTGAAAACACCATAGCTTCGAATCAAATGCAGGTGTTTGTTTCCTATTAAGAGAGTATGCAGTTTGTTGGGAGTACAATTCCAGTTACCCGCCTTATTTATCTAACATTTAAAAATCTCCGCTCACGCTCTCCCCTATTAAACGGGGTTTCCACCTATTCAAAGCGAGTTCTCGACCTTGGAAGATAAATAGATATCTCTACCCGGACTCTTTTTTTTTTTTTTCTCTACATGTTATTCATAAATTTGTTTCCATTATTAGGGGATGAGATTTGAGGGAATATGCTTTGTTCCCTTCATCATAACTATCTCATATTCTCATTCTTCTCCATCCTTTCTCTTCAAATTTAAATATAAAATAATAATAATAATAATAATATATAAATAAATAATTTTATGATATTTTAGCCATTAACAATAAATAAATTAAGAATATCTAACGTTTTAACTTATGAATAAATAGACTTTGTAAAAATATTTTTCGAAAAACAACAAACCAACAACCGAACCCAACTCAACTCTAAAATAGAAAGTTGGGTTGGACTATAAACTCTATTCAATAACTTAAAAATCTTCGACTATAAATTATATTCGATTTGTTTATATATTGAAATAAAATGAGTTTAATAAAATTCAAAATTTATAATTCGTTGGAACTTCATGAAGAAAGAGTTTTAATAAAATATTTGTATTTTATTATTATTATTATTATTATTATTATTTTGACCAAAGGGGCCACTCTCTCCATAAATATCTAAAAATATTTTCCAATTTAAAATAAAAACTATTTATTATTTTGGATTTGTTATTGGTGGGGATTGAAGATGCTGTGGGTCCCATCCCCACTTGTTACTATGTCATATTCTTATTCTTCTCCATCCTCTCCTCAAAATTACAAATATAAATTAATTAATATTCTTAAATTTTATTTCACATAATTTCAAATTTTTAAATCAAGATATTATTATCAGGCAGATTTTTTTGACTCCAGATTAATAATTAAAAAATATAACCTAATTAATTTTAAATATAAGAGTATTATTTAACTCAAGAATGGTAATAACTGACACTCACCTTACTGCTAATAGATATTGTTCGTTTTGGATCATGGAGTTTAAAATGCGTTTACTGAGAAAAGGTTTTCACACTATTAGAATGCTTCGTTTTCCTTTGGGGACCAACATTATCGCTGACACACATCTCCGTGTCTAACTTTGTATTGTTTGTAACAATCCAAACTCACTCTTATCAGTAGATATTGTCCGTTTTGGCCCGTATCGCTGTCAGTCTCACTGGTTTTACAATAATAACTAAAATCTTATAAAATTCAAATATCAAACATTTAAATATTCTTAATTTATTTAAAAGTAGGATATGGTTGAGATGTAACACTAAGTTCGGGTTGTGAGATTGAACGAACAAAAAAAACGTCAACCCATGAACCGAATTGAATTTTTGTTTTTCTAAAAATTCAACTGAACCTTAAAAAAAAATGTCTTGAGTGAACTTGGTCCCGGTACGGAGTCATATAAAGACTCATATTTATTTAATTATTTTTAGTAGTTAAATAAAAGAAAATATTTTACTCAACAATAGTTTATGGTTATTATTATTTTTTTTCGTCAATTCTGAAATCATTCAAGTGATATTGGGAGTGTTCATTTCACCACCAATTTGTTCGATCCACAAATCAGTTATCAGGTTTACATGAATGGATCGGACGTTGAAAATTTTGGATCGAACACATTGATTTGATGGAATTGACATCTCAGATTCCAAAGATGAGTCCCGTCCTTCCATTTATTTAGATTTTAATCCTCTCCCAGTTTCACTCCCCATCACAATCATCGATCGCGAAATTTTCACGAACAGGGAATTGAAATTGAACGATTCCTTCTCATTTCCATGATTTCTCAGAAGAAAATGCCGAGCCTCTCCAGGTAAGACCACGCTTGATTGATCGATCAATGGCTGATATTAATGGACTAGACCTTTTCAATTCCCCTATTTCTTGTTTGTAACGTTTCTTACAGATAATATTTCGCATCGGTTGCACGAGAGTGGTTATCGAGTGGCTTCACGTCTCTCTCAAATATGATTGATGACTATTTTCTTTTAATATTCGACATTGGAATCTTTCCCCAATGTAATCATGGAGAAACGACCAAACAAATCCCCACAACCCCATTTTCCCCTAAAGAAATTGTTTAGGGCTTCAAGTTGTGCAACTCCTCTGGCTTTCATTTTTTTTTTTTACCCTTATCCAAATTCGTACTGTTTTAGATTTTGATATTGTTTTCTAGGGAGTTTTTATCATATCTTCAATGATGGATTGGTTTGTTTTTATGATGGGGATTTGAACGAATCTTCCTTTCCTTGATTTTTCTAGGTTCTGGAATGGAATTTTGTCAGAATTCATGGAATCATTTGGCTGCCTGAGTTAGATAGACTAGATTGTTGATGGCATTGGAATCAATTGGGATAATGAAAATTTGGGAGTTAAAAACAGTCGATTTCTTCTGTTATGGCATTATCTTAGAGATGAACCTTATCTTGTCACCTGTGATATACATGTGGGATCGAAACCCATTTGAGTTTTTTCTTTCTTTTTCACTTTCATTGTCTCTCATAAGTCATTTCAACTTGGAAAAGCACTCTCAGGGATTGCCATTGGCTGTGTGGGGAAGAAGAGAACCTGGGTCAGATAATATAATGAACATAATTGTGCTTGTGAATTTGCATTATCCATTAAAGAACACGTGGCACAACAAGATATGTCCAATTGGGATCACATGTGGACCCACCTGGCACTTATCCTCCTATGTTCTCACAGGAAAGCATGGATGATATTATTATTTTGTATGCAGAGACCAGAAAGTGAATGAGGAAATTTCCAAAAGAAAAATTCCCAAATAAGATCTTTGTTAAACTAATTGGAAAGAGGCGGCTTCTCTTTCTTTTCTTTTCCCCAAGGATGATGGCACATGGGTGACAAAGCAGTAGCCATCGCCTTCTTCTTATAAATAGTGAGTTGAGGAGTCAATTTAGACATATCTCATTCTTAGCAGCTTAGCTCATTAGTAGAGATCCTTACAAGCATAGTTTCTTGCTTTCATTTCTTACTCTGCTGATTTCTTTCAATAGGGTGTGGTGGAAAAGGAGAGTAATTTTGTTTGGTAAGAAGGAAAGATTGAGAGAAAATGGAGGGAAAGTCTAAAGGGTATCAAGCCTCCTCTTTCGTTGCTGATCTTTTCGATGTCAAGGAGCCGCCATCAACTTCTTCATCAGAAGTCTTTGCAGCAATCTTTCCTTCTCCACAGAAGGTAATGCTCCTCTCTACGTAGAACTTTCTTTCTCCTTTCCAAATTGGTTTAGATTTTGCTGCATAATGTTAAGAGGAGGCTTTTTGAAACTCATGTGGCATTTTATAAAGTTCGTTGCTTAAGGGGTCCCCCTGTTATTTGCCTATTAGCAATGATATATTTTTGTCCTGAATTTCCTACTTCGACTGCTATTGCAAGTTTTGTTGCAGGAATCTCATGTAAAGTTTTAATTGCAAACCTTCAAAGTTATTCCATTTTAATTCTTACGTTTTGATCTTTAAACTTTTTATAAATCTTCATCAATTGTTTTAGTTATATTTAGCAGAAATCTTCGGCAGTCTGTCTCCATTTTTGGTATCAAACTCAAGATACGTGACACGGAATTCGAGTCCGCATTTTTACTCAAATATAATATGAAAATATATCTTTCTTCAGTCTTGGACAATGATTCTTGGCCACTTCCGTCTAAGAGAATCTCATCCTCAGTCTTTACTGAGTCTGATATCAATGGCGTATGCGCTTGAATCAGCATGTCCTTGTACGAATAAATAGTCTTTAGAAAGACGCCTCTCTTTTTCTTGTTTTATTGTTATTGTTTTGAAGAACGGAAAGATTAACTAATTGAGCTTGCGATCACAACCGCCATAGGCTAGGGAGAAAGACAACCAAAGAACGGCTGGGGCCATAAAATGGCATAGGACTAAAATGAACTTTTATTTAAAGGTCAAAAATAAAATAGGACGTTCAAACTAAAGGAGTGCTCATGACGACTAGAATAAGATTATTCCTTCTGTGAGTCATTGTCAAATCATCACGTTTATTTAACTATTATTTTCTAATTTTCAGGGGGGAGGCAGGAATTCTTCTAGCTCTGGGGATTGGCTAAAACAGGCCAATGGAAATCAACCATCCCACGCCAGACAAGGAAATTCAGGTGTGTGAATTGAAGTATCAATCCCGTTAAAATAAAAGGACAGGGATATGCAAATTCACAAACCACAGGGATGGATTGTTTGAAACCTTTTTAAGAATATATGAGTATATCATTTACAGAAGATAAAGAGTATAATTTGTAACTATTTTTAAGAATATAATCCTCAATTTTAGCCGTTCTCAAGAAAAAAGAAATTGAGTTATGCCTAACAAAAACAAGATCTGATCATTTCAAGGAGGGAGCTTGGAGCCTTGTCATCTGAGTTCATCTCTATACTATGGAGGACAAGATGGTTACTCCCAGGCCCCATCAGCTGGACTATCCCCATCCCCTGCCCCCACTGTGAGTATACTTTGTTGATCAATTTGGATCAATGTCAAAGATGTGTGCTCTCTGCTGGAACTTTTACGATTTTATCAGACCAAACGAAAACTGATTGTTCTTCTCATGTTGTTGCGATTTCGTTGATGACCCAGTTGAAGAAAAGTGGGGGAGAAGATGATCCAAATGGAAACAACTTCCAACCTGCTTCTAGGGGAAATTGGTGGCAAGGTACAGATAAAGTAATGGACGAAGTTGTTGGAATCTGTTGACTCATCCGTTTTAGTCTCTGATTTCAAATACTTTTTGTAGGTTCTCTTTATTATTAGGACGACTGCCTTGCCTTGGTGGCGCATGAATTCCCTCCTATTTTCCAAGGTATGATGTCATTTTTTCAGCATAAATGTATATTTCGAAGCTTTT